ATTGTCATAAAAGAAAATGAAGATGATTCAAAGAAATGGAAAGATATCCCATGCTCTTAGATTGGAAGAATATTGTTAAAATGGCCATACTACCCAAAGCAATCTACAGATTTAATGCAATCCCTATCAAAATACTCATGACGTTTTTCACAGAACTAGAACAAATAATCCTAAAATTTACATGGAACCACAAAAGACCCAGAATTGCCAAAGCAATCCTGAGGGGAAAAAAACAAAGCTGGAGGCATAACCCTCCCAGATAAGACCATCTACAAAGCTATAGTAATCAAAACATGATGGTATTGGCACAGAAACAGACATATAGACCAATGGCACAGAAGAGCACAGAAATAAACCCACACACCTACGGTCAATTAATCTTCAACAAAGGAAGCAAGAATATGCAATGGAGAAAAAAGAGTCTCTTCAGCAAGTGGTGCTGGGAAAGCTGGACAGCCTCATGTAAATCAATGAAGTTAGAACACACCTTCTCACCATACACAAAAATAAACTCAAAATGGTTTAAAGATCTAAATGTAAGACATGACACCATAAAACTCCTAAAAGAGAATATAGGCAAAACATTCTTGGACAAAAATCATAGCAATATTTTCTTAGATCAGTCTCCCAAGGCAATAGAAATAAAAGCAAAAATAAATAAATGGGACTTAATCAAACTTAAAAGCTCTTGCACAGCAAAGGAAACCATCAACAAAACGAAAAGACAACCTGAGTGGGAAAAAATATTTGCAAATGATGCAACCAACAAGGAGTTAATATCCAAAACATACAAACAGCTCATACAACTCAGTATTAAGAAAACAAACAACCCAATCAAAAAATGGGCAGAAGACCTAAATAGACATTTCTCCAGAGAAGACATGCAGATGGCCAACAGGCACATGAAAAGATGCTCAACATCGCTAATTATTAGAAAAATGCAAATCAGAAGCACAATGAGGTATCACCTCACACCTGTCAGAATGGCCATCGTCAAAAAGTCTACAAATAATAAATGCTGGAGGGGGTGTGGAGAAAAAAGAACCCTCCTACACTGTTGGTGGCAATATAAATTTGTATGTAAATACTATGGAAAACAGTACAGACATTCCTTAAAAATCTAAAAATAGAGCTACCATACGCTCCAGCAATCCCACTCTGGAAAAGATGAATACTCTTAATTCTAAAAGATACATGCACCCCAATGTTCATAGCAGCGCTAAGACATGGTAACAACCCAAGTGCCCATCAACAGACTATTGGCTTAAGAAAATGTAACACACACATATGTGTATATATATATATATATATATATATATATATGTAATAGAATGCTACTCAGCCATAAAAAAGAATGAAATATTGCCATTTGCGGCAACACGGATGGACCTAGAGAATATTATACTTAATGAATCAGAGAAAGACAAATATTACATGATATCACTTATATGTGGAATCTTAAAAATGATACAAATGAATCTATATACAAAACAGAAACAGACTCACAGACAGAGAAAACTAACTTATGGTTACCAAAGGGGAAAGAGAGGGCAGAGGGATAAATTAGGGGTACGGGATTAACAGATACACACTACTAAATAGGAAATAGAAAAGCAGGAAGGATTTACTGTACAGCACAGGGAACTACATTGAATATCTTGTAATAACCTATAATGGAAAATAATCTGAAAAAAAAAATATATATATATATATAAAACTGAATCACTTTGCTGTACACCTGAAACACAATACTGTAAATCAACTATACTTCAATTTTTAAAAAACTGTCAGATGGAGAACCACCTTAATATTGAGGTTTATCTAAAAAGCAAATGTTTACATATTTTTATTACTTTCAAATAAACTGACAGCATAGTTGCTACGATATTTTATAATTCGTCAATAATCGGATTGTTTAAAAATTATGTTACAGAAAAATCACCGTGATAAAATCAACTTTTTCTTCTAATAATTTATACTTGATATGCGTTATAAGAGTGTAATATTAATAGGCAAGATAATTCAAGCAGCCTGACTGATCTCATTAACTAGTCATCTTCAAATTCAGAAAACAAAAGGAATCAATAAACAAAAATAAAAAGCAAATTTTTGCCAATCAGAGAGACAGGGTTCAGTTTTCTGCGTATGAGAGGAGAGAGGAAATGTGTAAATTCTCACACACACACACAGGTGAGCTGACTTACCCCTAAGGCTGTAATTTTGCACCTGGCTTTCCTCAAGGAGAAAAGGAAGCAGTATCTCTGGAGCACACGTATGCTTTGCACACCTCTTCTGTTTTCCTCCCAGCAGCCGGGATGATGAATTGTGGAAGTGAGGCTCAGGGAGCTTAGGTAACTGACCTCGGCACACAGCTCGGAAGTGGCTGACCCTGGATCCAGCTTTCTCTGACTCCATGGCTCTTTCCTCCCTGCTCCACGGCGGAGACCACAGTCCTGTGCTGAGCTGACGTTCCTCAGCCTGGTTGGGAGAAGGAAAAATCGCTCTTTACCCACCTTTGGCCTTGTTTTCCTGGAGTCTCGAGAACTGTTCGCATGGACATCCACCCACAGGCAGCCTCCTTTCCGAAGACGGTGAAAGACCCAGTTTGCTGCGGGAAATCCTGTTCGGAGAGCACAGCGGGAGGCCAGCTGTGGTCCGTGTGCCCATCCTGGGTGCGTGTGGCTCTGCATGGGATCAGCGGTAAGACACGTGGTCCTCTTCAGCTGCCCGGGACCGCCAGCCTGTCTTTGAAGCAGACCTGCGCTCTCCTGTGCCACGTGACTCCCTGCAGCGAGCAGCTGTGAATGTAGGGCAAGGAGGGTCAGGTGTGGCGAGAAGTAGTGAAAGTTGGATTGACCGCAGTAGAATCCAGGTTCCACCACTTACTACTTGCCTGACACCATTTAATCTCGCTAAACCCCCATCTCTTCACTGCAGGTGGGCCTACCTCCCGGGTTACCAGGTTACCAAATGAGATGATCCATATCAGCACTTAGCATTGGGCCTGGCACATAATAAGCATGAGATATATTTAAGCTACTCTCACTGTTGTCACAACCATGATCGTTATTGCTTTTGACTCTGCCGCTGAGCAGTCATGTGACCCGGGGAAATCGCTTTTCCTCCCCCGAGCTTCCTTTTTTTTTTCTCGTGAAATGAGTGATGTTGGCAGCATCACCTATAAGGATCCCTGTAGCTCTTACGATTCGGTGACATTTGCTGGATCACTTTTGGGTGGTACCAGGTCCCAAGGACACCCTGGAATCTGGTTGCATCCACAGACGTTTCTTTTGCAAGCTGTTTCCTTAACTCCAGTATTCAGTCTTATTGTCGGGAGCATTTAGGGAATGTGGGTACATTAGACATCCAGACGTTAAGAATGACAAACAACATAGATAATCTGCTGATGCCTTCGGCTGAGAAGTCTGGTATTCTTGCTCTTGGTCCCCTGCACAAGAAAAACACCAAAACTTCTGAGGGCCTTCTTGGCTACTTAGACAGAGAAGTGACTGAGCAGTAACGCAGCCTTACCAGGAGGGAGGCAAAGAAAAAGCCAGTGTCTTCAGGAATCTACAGATTTGATCACCTTCCAGCCTGTCATGGAATCCTGACTACGTCCTTTACAGCCCCGAGCCCTCCCCTTGGATTCGTGCTCAGGATCCTTGGATCCCAGGAACCCACAGAGGAAATGGAGGTCAGCCTTAGTTTCCTGAGGCTGCCATCAAGTACCACAAACGGGGTGGCTTAACCAACAGGAATTTATTCTCCCACGGTCTGGAGACTGGAAGTCTGGTGCTGGCAGGGTTGCTTCCTTCTGAGGGCTGCGTGGGAACGTGTGTTCCTTGCTTCTCTGCTAGCTTCTGGCGGGTTGCTGGCAATCCTTGCCTTATAGATGCAACACCCCAATTTCTGCCTCCGTCTCCCCATGATGTTCTCCCTGTGTCTGTCTCCATGTCCAAATTTCCCCTTTTTATAAGGACACCAGCCCTATGGGATTAGGTCCCACCCTAATGACCTCATTTTAACATTGATCGCCTCTGTAAAGGAATTTCCAAATAGGGTTATGTTCTGAGGTACTAAGAGTTAGGACTTCAACATATCTTTGGGGGTTGGGAGGACACAATTTAACCCATAAGAAGGTCCTTGGACTATTTTCGTTCCTTCAAAGTACATAAGAATTAAACACGTCTCCATACTGACTCAATAAACACTGTTTAAGAGCACAGGCTCTGGAAATTGCCTGGGTTGGAATTTTGGCTCTGCCATTTTCTAGCTGTGTGATCTTGGGCAAGGTTTTTAGCTTCTCTGTGCTCAGTTTCCTCACCTGTAAAATGGGAATAACAATTTTATCTACACCTGAGGGTTGATAGAAACATTAAATTAAAAAATACACTTAAAATTTCTCATCTTATTATGATTATTTTATATCCTATTTGGAAAGGGTTCCATCTAACAAATACAACAAAAGCACATGTAATATTTACCACCCGCGTGGCACTATTTTATATGCTGGTGCATATATCAACTTCTTATCACAACTACTTTGTGGATGCTACTATCATCCCTGTTTTACAGAAGCAAAAACTAAGCCCTAGAGAGATTTTGACGTGTGTATGGCCCCATGGCCAGTACAGAGAGAACTCCCGACCCAAATCCAGGTGTGTCTGATTCTGGGGCCTTTTAGGAACCATTGTGACTGGCTGCCTCTCCAGGAATAAGAAAAGGGTCTTGTAATGATGAAATGAATCACCTCCTTCACTTGCCCAGAAAGTCATCCTGTTTTCAAAGGCCTTATTCTGAAGGCACTTCCCATAATGTTAGACTGTGGTCAGGAAACACACTTGTTTCTTTAAAACAGGGAGTTTGTCTCTCCTCCAGGTCCCAGGATGGCTTTGGAAGTGTCTCCCCAGGAGAGCCAAGGAGAGGCCACCCCCGATGCCTTGCACCCAGGGAATGATGGTCACCTCCCTGACATCTCTGGTTTTGTGTTGTCCTTCTAGGGAAGTCCATCAGAACTGCTGTGCTGATGAAGGGGACACTCTGTCTTCAAAGAGAGAAGAGAACTTCCGTCCCTGGCTGTGGGCCACCCTGGCCAGAGACTCCAAGTGCAACGCCTTCACTCGTACACACCTCCCCGAGGCCTGGTGGGAATTGTTCATAGTGCCAAAGTCCTACCACTGCGTTTTCCATGGGTCCTTGTAAATAGTTGGTTCCTGTGCCCAGGCCCCCGCCTCTTGCTGTACTGGAACCGATTTGTACAATGTGGGAAAATTTTGTTACCTTTTTAACCAAGGGCAACTTCCTTTTCCAGCACTACCATTGTAAGGTATTTTTCCAGGAGGGAGGGCTGATCACACGTGCTTTTCTCTTTTTTCCTTTCTTTTTTTTTTTATTTTATTAATTTGGGGGAGGGGGGATGTTAGCATTAGTGCCATTATATCTACTGGATTTTAGGTAGGGAGAGTTCATTTTTAAAGGTAGTTTGAAATTTGGGAGATTTCTTCAGGGGAAAGGGCTGGGATTCAGGCATCTGTCTTAACTTGGGGAGGGTTTTACAGATGACAGATCTTCCAAATCAAATCCATTTCTATTTCTTCCCCAGCCTCCTCTGGGGGTCCCTGTTTAGCCACACACAAGGCTTTCTGAACTGCCACCAGGCCGGTCTGGTTTTTTTGATGGCCTGGCCTCAGACCTTGGGCCGAGCCAGCACCCGGAGAACTGGGTAGTGGACAGCTACCCACCCTGAGCCCCTTTTTAGTGACCAGCAGAAAGGGCTCTCCCGGATGCATTAGCATCATCATTACTTTTGTGAAATTAAAAGAAAAAGAGATCTTCGTGTCTAGATGGTACAAAGATGAACAGCTTTGGTTTTCATCTCCGTTCCTAGCTGCCTTTTCTCAGTGTGGTATTGGACAAGATTTCAGCTTGAAGCTTCACCACGAATTGCTTTTTTTGTTTGTTTGTGTGTTTGTTTTGGGCCAATTTTAGTTTCCTGAGTGCACTTTTTTTTTCCCTCAGTTAGTCCTAACTTCTAAAGAAAAACCAGGAGACATATCTGGTGTAAATGTTGCAGTATGAGCTGTGTTTGCAGTCCCTTCCCCTGCCCACACTGCCCCTCATTTGAGTACACTGCACAAATAAAAGGTTAGGGAGTTTGGAGAAAAAAAAACAATTTTTCTAACTTGTTGCTCATTTGTTGTAACTCAATAAAGCAAAGACTACACATTTTTATAACCTTTTCCTCTGCTCCTGGCTCCTCATTTCTGTCTGGCTCCCAGGGCACAGCCTGAGGGTTCCAACTCACCCATCTGTTTCAAATCCGTTATGACCACACTTCTCATCTTCCGTCCTGGTGAGGCCTGACAGCGCCGGTGGGACTGTAAAAACAGGGGGTAAGCGTCGACGTGGGAATCTTCATCACATCTCTGTGACATAGAGAAGAAGTGAGTGACAGGCCCACCCTTCTCCGGGGTCTTCACACATAGACTCATAAAATGCTGCAGAGAAGAGCACAGGCGTGGGAATGAGACATGCCTGCAGGCCACCGCTTGCTCTCGGGGGACCTCAGGCAAGTCACTTCTGTCCCGGGTTGCTGGTGACTGGGACACTGCCACTTCTCCGAGAAGGCCGGCTTTTGTGTCTCTGACCCGGTGAGGTTTAAAAAGCCCCTCGTTGTTCGAGGCGACCCTCGTTTAGACCAGTGCCTTTCGAGCTTGAGCAGGTAGCGGAATCACCTGGAAGGCTGGTTAGAGTTTCTAACTGAGTAGGTCTGGGTGGACCAGAGAACATCCACTGCTCCCAGGTGAGGCTGGTACTGCCAGCTCGGGGTCCCAACATTGGGAATCTCTGGTCTAGATGTTTCATTTTCACAGGGACTTACAGACTTTTGGGCAGCTTATCCACCCCTCAGCCTCCAAACTCTCCCCATCCACCTCCCCCGCTGCAAAAAAACTAAAAATCCAACCTGCGCTTTTCTTATTACAAAAACAAAAGTGCCAAGTGGCTGTAGCTGGCTCATCTCCCGCTTCCTGCCTACGCTGCCTTTCCTGTCTGCGCTCCGAGCCGTGGACCATCCGCAGACCTCATCTCCTCATGCTGTCCTGTCCTTCCAGACCATCAATGAACGTCAGCCCATCCCAGCCCCCTCCAGCTTCTCCCTGGCAGGCAGCTGCCTTCCCCTCCTGCTAGTTACCGCCCTTGCCGTTCCGCTTGCCACTCTCAAGCGATTTAAGTAAATTCTTCCAGCAAGGCAGCAGGAGATGCTATTAAATGCCTGAAGAAACCAAAGGGAAAACCTTGCCAGAACTTTTGTCTTTTTATTTTTAATTTCTGCACCAAAGAGAAAGCTTTGCTAATTGGTTGCAATGAAAATACACAGGGAAAACAGCTGTGCTCTTTTAAGCACCCAGCAAAATCTGACAAGCTACATCTCCCCCCCACCCGGGAATGATCAAAGGGTGGCAGAAACTAGGAGAGGGGTTCTTAAGGGGAATACACGGACAGGTGAGGTGGAAGAGAGCCGTGGAGTGGCGTGAACAGCTGCTGTTTTTGTCTGCCCCGTACCTCTTTGCACTACATCTCTTCCTTTAGGGTTCACTTGTCTCCCCTCCTGTTCATCTGATTCTGAGGGGCTGCCCATCACGGTGACCCACTCCCCTCCCACAGGACAAGCCTGGCGCTCCAGCCCCCTGTTCACCGAGCTGGGTGCAGTGTGATGCAGGTGCACTCAGAAGCTGGGAGAGAGCTCCCTTTTTCCATTGAGATGACGAGTGTGATCTTAGCCTGGAGCCACCAGCATCCAAACCTCCTGCCCGAGAGAGGAAGCCAGTCTGCAGGTAGCAAGAATGAGGCCGAAAACTCAAGAAAAGAGGCAGAGGAGCAACGGAGGAAGAAAGAGATGATGGTGGTGGTGGTGACAGTGGTGACATCATTCGAGTCCCTGGACCCTGCCATTCCTGAGGCCAGCTCCCTATCTTTCCAGTTTCATAAAAACCAACACATTGCTCTTTTTGACTTAGGCTAAAAACCTTTTGAATTGGGTTTCTGTTGCTAGAAACTCGGCATTCGGATGGTTTGATGAGGTTATGAGATAAAAAACAAAGGAAAGACAGTAAGTGTAAACAGCCCCATATAGCTGGTGGCTACTATACTGGATGTCCATCTCTAAGTCCTTGCTACTCAAGTGTGTTCCCTGGATCAGAAGTGGCAGCATCACCAGGGTGCTTGTTAGAAACGCAGAACCTCCAGCCCCTACCCCAGACCTGTTGAATCGTAACCTGCAATTTCACACCATCCCCAGGTGACTCAACTGTTCATTCAAGTTTAAGAAACTCTGCTCTGAAGGCTCTGAAGGGCTCCTCGCCAGCCTCTTCCAGCACACTGAGGGCTGGGGGCGAGATGTGATACACCACAGAGCCTGTTTTCAGAGTGTAGACTCCAAGGCCTTGGGGAGCAGGAAGGCAGAGGCAGCAACAGGATGGAGATCATGTGGTACCCCAGGTGCGGGTGCCCTTGTCCTTCCAGACCACCTGGTGCACAGCTACTTCTAGCCAACAGCATGCGGAAATGACAGCTCTCACTGGCCTGCCACAATACAAGCTGGAGAGAACTGGGAGAGACGTCAGTTCCCTCCTACTGATTTCTGAAAGCTCCCATCTGGAGCACCTAACAGCTGGATGTACTTACAAACCACAGTAGAGGCACCATCATTACCCCTGGGCGCTTGATCAATAAGAATGAATAAAAAAGACATCCAAGTACATTGCATGACATGTTGCAAGTCGGGTATCCTGTAGAGTGTAGGAGGCGCATTGCCCTGGACTTTGAGGAAGGGAGATGACAAAGGTCTCCATCAGTAACTCGCATACCATCTCCTAGAACCAGCCCCCAAAGCATTACAGACTGCCTCAGTCTGGATCCTTGAGAAAAAGAGACAGAACACTTAAACTGGGAAATCTAAGGGAAGTGCATTAAATGGATGTCCACACGGTGTGGGCAGGGCTTGGGGAAGCCAACAAGGGAGGATGTAGAGATCTTGGCCTGAAGGTGTAAGGGATGGGGCAGTTACTGGAACCTGTAAAGGATACATGCCTTCAATAAACCATGGTGACCCGGCAGGGGGAGAATCTGGGGAACAAATACCCTGACATCATTCTCCTCCTATCCTCTGCCCTCCTGCCACTTCCTCCCAATGGCCAAACCCAACCAGAAGTCAGAGGGTAAGGGGATCTGTTGGTCCAGTCCATCAGAGTCTGCCTCTCAGCACACAGAGCAGGTGGGAAAAGGGTGGGGGGGAGGGAACAGATGGTCCAGCGCACACATCGATCTATGGGCTGGACCAAAGATGACAAATACACACCAAGGATGCTATATGCCCCACTCATGGCAAACATTAATAATCAACTGAAGCGTCTTTGGCTGCTGGGCTTCGACGGCCTTCACAATACTGAACACAGAGCCTCACCTTGAATCTATTAACCTTGGAACATGAGATGACACATTGGGTGCGTGCCCCTGGTTGCCTAGCTAGTATCCATTCCCTCATTCTTCCTCACTAACAGAACCAAGATATTACCCAGGCACTGACATACCCCAGTCCCAGGTCAGAAACTCAATTTCCCTTGCAGCCAGGAGCGGCCAATGAGATGCACACAGAAGGCTCTTGCATAGCTGGTGCCTGTCTTCTTCCTCCCTTGTTCTTACCTTGTGTGCACTGCTGATCTTGAGACTACATCCTTAATAGCTTCTTTGAGCCCCTGAACCAGTGCCACAGCTGAAAGTTTTCAAACATCTTGATATGTGAGAAAAATATCTATTCGTTTAATCCACCACTCATTGTATTTGTCTGATACTTGCATTCAAATGTGCTCGTGACACAAAACTTTTGTGCCATCCTTAGACTGGATATCAATCCTCTCACTCATGCATGAGTTCATTTATACCTGTGCCAATTGCCAGGTGAGAGATAAGTTATGTATAGTCTCCCTCCTCAAGGAAACTTGATATATATATATATACTTGTTTTTTTGGGTTTTTTTGCGGTACGCGGGCCTCTCACTGTTGTGGCCTCTCCCGTTGCAGAGCACAGGCTCCAGACACGCAGGCTCAGCGGCCATGGCCCACAGGCCCAGCCGCTCCGCAGCATGTGGGATCTTCCCGGACCGGGGCACGAACCCGTGTCCCCTGCATCGGCAGGCGGACTCCCAACCACTGCACCACCAGGGAAGCCCCTTGATCTATATTTTGAAGGATGAGTAGGAGCTGGCCAAATGGATAAATCAGAGGAAGGCACAAGATGCAGAAGTGAAAGAGTGTATATATACAATGTCAGGGTGTTACGTAGTAGAAATCCAACGAGGAGGCTATAACGTGTAACAAAAGAAGAAACCATCAGTTTTCAACAACCGACTTTGAAAAGCAACCAAGTCACACTGATTCAAACCCAGTCATAAAAAAACAGAAGTGATTATCCACTTGGAAAGACCCTGAATAACTGCCAAAGAATTATGCTATTTGCTTGTATGATGGGAAATCAAAAAGTGTTTGGGATTTACCAAGATGAGTAAAATGTTGTATAAAACTGATGTAAAGTGAAACAAAATACATTCGAAGTCTTTTACCTTGGACTTGCTTCCCATGGCTGAGTTTGGGTCACAAACCTTGGGATCAGGTCCATCTGTCCAAAGGATGTCCCAACTCCTTCCCCAGTCTCTTCCTCTGCCCACTCTGGTCTGCTTGCTGATTGGTGAGCACTCCCTGGGTCCACACAGTTTCTCCTCTCAGAATGTGCCCCTTCCCCATTTCTTCCAGTCCCAGTTGAAGTTTCACCAGACCAAAGAAAGGTACATCTTGTGCGACAGAGAGGCTGGATTTAAGGAAGACACACATACCCCAACTGGCTCTCTGGAAGCCCTGCTGCACTGAACTCCTGCATCAATGGGATGTAGTTCTCGATCTAACCACATATGGGTTAGTTGTTCAGTCTCCTCTTTGTGTTATGCTCCTCCTGGCCAGGAAATGTACTGAACATCTGTCCAGTATTCCTTCCCCATCTCTTTCAGCAACACTCACACCCCTTCCCACTGGGAGAGTCTTCTACAGACCTGCTCTTTCCCTGTGTCAACTCTAAGATGTTGGTGTGGCACCAGCACAGGACAGGATCCTTCTGTCCATGGGTAGTCATGTGATTCAGACCTAACCAATCGTAGCACTATCTCTGACCTCAGTGAGTGCCCAAGG